CAGGAGCCCAAGTTGCTGGGGGTGGGGCCTGGACGGTCAGCTGGGTTCTCAAGCCTCCATGTGAATCATACAGTAAAGATTCCCAAAACCACGCCTGCACCCGCATGAGGGGCTTGCAGTTAAACAGCTTCATCTAAACCCGTGAAGGAAGTCATGTCAGCGTCACTCTGACACAAGATCAAACCAGAATTCCTGGGCAAAAATGGTTTTAGTTTTTATTCGTTTAATGTAGTTTTTACTTTTCTGTAGCACTGGGGATTAAACGTGGGGGCCTTCTTGTTGAGTGACATCCTCAGTTCTTTTTAAATTTTTTTGAGATAGCGTCTTTTAAGTCAATAAATTGCCCAGGCTGGTCTAGATCCTGTGATCCTCAGCCTCCCAAGTGCTGGGATGGCAGATGTGTGCCACCATGTCTGGCATGGGTCTATTGCTTTAAAGAACTCTTTCCACTGGTCAGTGTGGGGGTCTCCTATGAAATTCGGAGGAAACAAGCTCTCACACACGTGGTCATACACATGCTCACACACACGCGCTCACACACGTGCAGTTACACACATGCACACACGCGCTCACGAAACACATGCTCACACACATGCATGCTCACATGCGGGTGCTCACACATGCATGCACACAGACATGCACGTTCACACGCACTTGTACGCACACAGGCATGCACCCACGTTTAACCTACGGCCAAGCAGCAGACACAAAGCACTTGAAAATCTTCCCGGGTTTTGATGATAACCGGAAGTAGCGGAAAAGGCGAGATACCTTTGTAGACACAGTCTTGACGTAGACCGGCAGGTCTCCGTGGGGACTTCCATAGCCCCCCACGATACTGAACCCCAAGCCTTCCGAGCCTCTCTCCAAAGTAATCATCTTAGCTGAGGGTGTCCTGAAAGCACAGGGGGTGCAGTTTAGCTTGGGAAGAATCAGCACGGCAGTTCATCTCCACGGTGAGCTGACTTAGACGCTTTCACCTGTGGACCCCTGGCGAAACCTGGGAACTGGATTCTAAATCTCAGGTCAGCACCTGAGGGCTCAGGACTTTCTTGGGCATGAAACCCACTGCTTTCTGATTAAAAAAAAAAAAAAGGCACGATGCTGAGATTTCCAAAACACCCTTCTTCATGCTCAGGCGTTCTTCTTCTGAAAGGGTATCTAGTCCAGGCTGGCCTTGGACTTGAGATCCTCCTGCCTCAGCCTCCTGAGTGCTGGCATTAGAGTTGTAGGCCACCATGTGTGGCTTATGCTTACTTCCTCCCCACCCCCAGGACTGGGGTTTGAACCAAGGTCTCATGTATGTTAGGAAACTGCTCTATTACTGAGCTTCATTCTCAGCTTTTAAAAAAATTTCATTTGAGTCAGGGTCTCAACAAGTTGCCGCAGGTGTCCTTGAACTCCCGATCCTCCTGCCTCTTCCTCCTGAGGAGCTGAGATTACAGGTGTGCGCTACTACACCCAGCCCCCAACTGCGTTGTTGTTGGTTTCTGTACTGGGGATGGAACCCAGGCCCTGTACACTGAGCTACCTCCCCAGCCCACGTGCAGTTTTGCGACAGGGTCCACTAAGTTGTTAAGCTGCCCGGGCTGGGACTGAACTCGCAGTCTTCTTGCCTCAGCCTCCCCGAGTGCAGGGATTCCAGGTGTGCACCCTAGTCCCAGGCTCCACTCTGGGGGACTGGATGAGACAGGCAGCCAGCAGCCAGCCTGTGCGCACAGCGAGGGCGCAGCTCAGGAGGCAGCGGGGTCAGGGCTTGGGGTACCTGTGGCCCCGTAAGGAGGAGGCACGGGCGCCGCCTCTGGGTGCTTCGGCTGGCCCGGGCTGCAGGGATCCCTGCATGGGGCAGGGAAACCCTGTGTCCCGCAGGGATACCAGTGGGACCTGGGAAGCACCCTGCGCTGCCCCCTCTTTCCCACAGCGAGCACCTAGCCTGGGAGGTGCTCAGGGCTTGGTCCCGGGGAGAGGGCCCGGGGCTCGGGGACTCACTCTGCGTCCTCTGAGGGGTGGTCGGTGCCAGGCGAGCTGGGGTGCTGGCCTGCAGACATGCTCTCCAGCTGGGTGGCGATGGCGCCGATGTTGGTGTCAGCCACAACCTGGGGACAGAAGAGGGTGTCTGTGAGAGGAGTGGGCACTGCCTAGGGCTCAGCCCTCTGCCCACTGTGCCCCCCGCCCGCTTGAGGACCCAGGGGGAGCTTCGGCCTTCCCTGCATGTGGCCTCAGCATCCCAGGCTCACCTCTCTCCCTGCTGGGTGACCCACCTCCCCGACCCCACTGTCCAGAGCCGCAAAGCTCGGTCCGTGGCTTCACCCCTTTCCAGCTGCAGGTTTTCCTAGGTTACCTCCAGAGCCGAAGGCTCACCCGAGGACACCGCTGCCGAGCCGCATCTCCACCCGACGCAACTCCACCCCACGCGCCCCTCCCGACCCGGCTCCTCCCGGGGTGCCTGTCCAGCGTCTGAACCCACTCGTCCGAGCCTGCACTCCTCGTCCCTGCAGCCTCCCCACCTCGACACCCGCGTCACCGCGTTCTGCTTCTCAGCACCTCTCCCTGCTCTCGGAGCCTGTGTCCTTCCAGTCCCCAGCGTGTCCCTCAGTCCCGTCCAGCGTGGCGATGCCTTGGCCCTTGGCGCAGAGCCGACTCTGCTGTGACCACTTGGCTCCAGCACTGCCTCGTGTCTGCCTGTCCTGCGTCCTCCCGCATCTGTCCCCGAGGCCCGGCTGGCACACAGCTGCCGCCTGCACCCGCAGAGCGAGCGCCTCTCCTCCTCGGTCCTCTGCACAGCTCCAGCTGTACCGTCCCAGCAGCCCCTGCTTGGCCCCTCCTCTGCCCTCTGAGACAGCGCCCCTCTGCCTTCCCACCTGCCTGTTCTCCCAGTCTGCAGGGCGCGGCCGGCCCGCTGGGGAGGTCTGAGACAGAAGGGACCCTGTACGCCAGGTGCTCTCCCTGCTGCCCTGGCACCATCCCATGGGCCCGCTGTGCCCAGTGCCACGCCACTGTGTCACTGCCGAAGCTCAGCCCAGGCTTGGGGTGGTGGGCACCTGAGCTCACAGCCCCGCATCCCCAGGCCGCTGCATTTGGGGCTTCCCCAGAGGCCGCCTGCCAAGGAGAGGAAACTCACGCCCCAGCTGCCATCTCTCCACCCTAGCATGGGTCCAACTGTCTCCAGGGGCAGCACCAGGTGTGGCACAGCCGTGCACGTGCCGACTCTCAACAGCCACTGGCAACTGCCTGGCGCCCAGCCTGGACTCTGCCTGCCACAGCCCTCGCCAACTGCACTGGCCTGGCCCGCACTGACCTTTTCCCACACACAGAGGACGAGGGGCCCCTCCGCGCTGTCCCTGCAAGCCTGGAACATGGCCTGGGGTGCCTGGGTCCCGCCAGCTCCCTGCTCCTCTGTGGCCCTTGTGCTCCCTCCTGGACACCAGTTCACCACCCCTCACACGGCCTGTGGCCACCTCATTTCCACTCAGCCTCCTGTTTTTCTCTCCATAGCTCGCCTTTTTCTTTCTTTCTTTCTTTCTTTCTTTCTTTCTTTCTTTCTTTCTTTCTTTCTTTCTCTTTCTTTCTTTCTTTCTTTCTTTCTTTCTTTCTTTCTTTTTCTTTCTTTCTTTCTTTCTTTCTTTCTTTCTTTCTCTTTCTTTTTCTTTCTTTCTTTCTTTCTTTCTTTCTTTCTTTCTTTCTTTCTTTCTTTCTTTCTTTCTTTTTTCTCTTCCCTCCTTCCTTCCTTCCTCTCTCTCCCTCTCTCTTCTGTTTAATTTTTTTTGAGACTGGGTCTACATAGTTCAGGCTGGCCTCAAACTCATAGTGATCCTCCTGTCTCAGCCTCCTGAGTACCAGGACAACCACCATGCTTGGCCCCATGGCCTTGCAATGTATTTCTCAGACGGGGAACCCCGTTTGGGTGGGGGACTGTCTTCCTGGCTGCCCCTCAGCCTCAGGGCTTCAGCAGGTGCCCGGGAAGGACTCACAGGGTGAACCAGGCAGCGTGAAACCTTCTTGAGCAGAGACCATGGACCCGGCTCCCAGACCCCTGCAGCACAGCGCGTGGACGGCGCAGGAGAGGCTGGGGTCCCGCGGGGCCTGGGAGACACACGGCCTGCAGGGGCAGTTTCAGGAGGGGTGGTGTGTTGTCTGGGTTGGAAGGCGGGACGGTGCGGACACCTTGGGTCCCCTGGCTGTGAGGAGCTGAGCACGCACGGTGCTGGCCACATGCACGGCAGGAGGACGGCGGGCGAGGACCGAGTGGTCCCGGCTTTCCGAGGTGCGACCTGGCTGCCCTCTCTCCACCGATCTGAGGGAGGGGCAGCGCCACGTGCTCCCCGGTCCCCAGAGGGCAGGATGAGGCTGCGGCAGGGCGGCGGGGTCGCCGAGGGCACGCGGGCCAGCAGCCAGGAGGCCCCAAAGCGAGACTTCACTGTGGAATCCCGTGCTGTCCTCTTCCCGTCCTCCCCTGCCCTGCCTCCCCTCCTCCCCTTGGTACTGCGGACGGAATCCAGGCCCCTGCCGCACCCCAGAGTCTTGCACTTTATCATTACTACTATATTATTATCATTATTTCCCCGAGTAGAAAAGCACTGCCTGTCCTGCGTGGGCTTGGGGCCTGAGCCTCTCCTCCAGCGCGGGCTGGAGACCCGCTCAGAGTGCAGAAGTCGGGGTCTCCAGACAAGCTGAGGGGCCTCAGCTGCCTCGGGCTCCAAATCCTCTGGGGACCTGGCTCTTGGCTTGCAGACCTGGCCTGTAGGTAGACGGTGGGACTGGGTGCCCGCCCCGAGGCCTGCTGGACCTTGGGCTGAGCCGGCCTGGCCTCAGGAGCTTGGGGATGGGGCTCGGCACCCTGGCCGGGGCCCTCACTCATCTGTCTTCTCATGCTAGGAAGCGGCAGGGTGGCCACAAATAGGAATCAGGCAATGCGGGCCGGCGCCACCTGGTGGGAGCAGCTGCGCACGACTCCATCTCCGGAAGAGTCGCAGCCCCGGACATGGACGCTGACCTGGACGCCGATGCTCACCCGTGCCACCGCGTGATGAGGGAAGCCGGCGTCCATCCCACTTCCCGTGTCTCCAGGCCCCGCTGCCCCCCCTCCCCCGCTCTAGCCTGGTACGGGTCCGTCCTTCAACCCCACCTGTCGGGCTCTGTCCCCTGTAGGTGTGGTCACCGCTTTCCTGTCCCATCCTGGACTGCACCCGAGTCACCCAGTCCACGCAGCACCGCACAGCCAGGTCAGCTCAGGGGGCCGCGCCACTGGTCCAGGGTGCAGCAAACATGGTGATGCACCCGTGGCTGCCCTGCAGACCCCACCACACGCTTTCCCGGCAGCCGGGCGCCCCAGGCCCACACAGCACCTCGCTCAAGGTTCACGACCTCTGGGTCGGCCTGGCTCACACCCACTGGCCCTGAGCAGACCTCCTGGGCTGCCTGGGCCCAGCTGAGCGGTGGTGTGGACGGTCCCAGCCCGGACGCCCAGGCAGACAGACACTAAGGAAGGGATCCACGCGCTCCAGACAGGACAGGGCATGGCCCCGTGAGCAGCTCGGGCAATGGAGCGGGGCCAACAGCATCCTGGCTACTGGGCATCCCAGGTGTGGAGGCTGAGGCAGGAGCTCTGCTGTCCACGGGACTGCACTTTCTGGGTTCTCTTCTAGTTTTTTTTTTTTCCAGAATGTTTCTGTGTGCACTTGATAAAGACTGCAAAGTATCGCTCACGATCAAAAGGCCCACCGCTCCCTGGGGCGGGCACAGTGGCCCTTCCTCCTGCAGGAATGCACTAACCGTATACATGCTCAGATGCCTATCTTGAAACTTAGCATCTTTTTTGCTTTGCAGTACTGGGGTTGAAACCAGGGGCTGCACACTGAGCTATATACATTCCAGCCCTCTTTCTTCTGAGACAGGGTCTTCCTAAATTGCTAAGTGGCCCTGGACAGGTTTAAACTTGGGATCCTCCTGCCTCAGCTTCCCAGAATGCTGGTATTATAAGTGTGACTCACCACACCTGGCTTGAAATTTATCATCGTGATGATTGCTACTGGCTCCCTTGCAGAAAGAGGTGAAAATTTAGTATGCCAAATGCTCTCACTGAACCTCCATGTAACTGTATACACATCTAAAACTCCCACTTCTGTCGTGGCACCAGGGCTTGAGCCCAGGGCCTTGCACATGCCATGCAATGCAAGGGTTCTGTCCCTCAGCTGCCCCAGCCCTTACTTTTTAAAAATTATACTTCCTTCCTATGTTTCTAAAATATATTCAAACCTCTGTAGTTTCAACAGTTCCCAACAATTTTTCTTTTTATTTCAATTTATAAAATTGTTTTTCATACAGAATATATAATTTGTATTTTTTATTTTTTTTTCCGGTACCAGGAACTGAACGCATGACCTTGCACTTGCCAGGCAGGCAGTGTGCCGCTGAGCTAAATCCCCAGCCCCTAGAGTATCTAATTTAAAAGTCAAAATCATTTTAGTTCTTTTTCTCCCTGGTACTAGGGATGGAACCCAGGGCCTTCATGCTGAACAACAGCCCTGGCTCAGTTTTACTTTTTGTTTTGAGGCAGAGCTGTGCTGAGTTTCACACTGGTGACTCTCCTGCCTTGGCCTCCCAGAGGGCTGGGATTACAGCTGTGCTCCACCACGCCTGGTGCGTCCCACAGTATTTCATGAAAAAGAGTCCTTGTTTCCTTCCCCTGTTAACAGGTCCTCCCTAAAATTATTTTCAGCCGTGTTAGCTGTTTCTTCTAGTATTAGCTTCCCTATTTCCAGAGGACCCTGTTTACTTGATTTTTCTTTGACTTCAATTTCCAGTATCCAGTCCCTTGGGAGTGTGGAGATAAGGCGTCTCCTTGCACAGGCTCTCCCGCGTTTCCACACCCTGCCTGCTGACATCACCACCGAGGCAGGGCTTGGGCTGCTTCTTGAAGGCACAAGCTCCTCAGCTGAGCCCTCAGATGCCCAGGGTCCCTAAGTGCCGCAGGGCAGGAGCTCGGTGGAACCGCGCCGGCCGGAGCTCCGTACATGAGGAGCCGCAGGGAGGAAGGAAGAGGAATGGAGCCGTGTGCACAGGCAGCTGCGGGGTGTGCGCACCGCGCACCACGAACATGCACTCCCGAGAGGAAAAATTACAAAAAGAAAAGCGAGAATGTGCATCTCAGCCCTCATGCGGCACCTGTGTCCCTCGTGACCTCACAGCTCGGACAGGTCCCTGCTGGGCTCCTCACGTGGCCACGCTGATCGCTGAGGGCGCAGGGTGAGAGGCCGGGCATTTCCGCCACCCAGGGTCCCCTGCAGGCCACGACGGCCCAGTCCAGACCCCGCGGCTCCTGCAGGTCCCCGGTGGCCGCCTGGTCCTGGAGGAGGACGTGGGGCGTCCTGGCCACTCCAGCTTGCCTGTGTGACCTGTTCATTCTCTCAGTCACCTGGAGTCTGGGGTCACAGGCCTGAGCACCCTGGGAAGAAGTGGGAACGGAAACAGCCCCCGCAGCCCAAGGCTTTGTGCACCCAGGACAGCAGCCAAGCCGGACCCCGAGGCCAGCAGCACATCCCTCGCTCTGCCTCAGCTTCCTCCCTGGGAAACCGCAAACGACTGCTGGCACCCAAGGACACCCCGCACCTCCCGGTACGGGCCACGCTGGGAATCGATCCTTCCCGTTTGTACCCACATTTGTCTCTCATTTGTCATAGTGAAGGCTGAGCCCGCCCTGGCCTAGGACGGAAGCAACGTCATATGTGCCTTGTCCACAAACGTGTTCACACTGGGCCAATGACTCCACTATGACCCCGTCTGCCTCTCCACAGCAGTGTTCCCAAGGTTAACACTTAGTGTGCAGTTTAGATTTTACATGTTTATCATTAGTTCAGCCCTGTGCACTCCAGTGGACCTGGAACTCCTGATCCGCAATAAATAGTAGACAACTGGTCCTTCTTTCTTCCTCTTCAGTTGACAGACCCTTTTCCTGAAACTTTTCCTTCCATCCCGTCCCATCCCAGCGTGGACAGGGGTTCTCTGCTGTGCAGCGTTTACGAGCTCCCGCTGGCCTCCTCTCTCTCACTGTGCTCACTTGCTGGAGCGAATCCTGCAGTAGTTTTCTCAGGACGACACTGACGAAGGGGTCAGGTGCCGTTCTGGGACCTCTTGTTGTCTTGTAGGAAAGCTCTGAGGTTTTAGCATGGATTACCCTTGTACCATCTATCCTGGTTATTGAGTAGGGGCCTCGGGCGTCACTTCCGCGTGCTCTGCAGGACTCTGACGGCGCTGCCTCGTGGACAGCGGCTCTGGCCGCCTCGCTCTCCGAGCCCGAGGCCTTCTCCTGACCTCCGAGCCTCGGCCCTCTGCTTGCCTGTGTCCATTCACTGACTGACCTGAGGCCAGCAGCTTTGGTGGGGGCGGTGGGGATTCCGCACTCGAGGTCTCGCAGCCACCCACCCCACTGCTCCCACACCCAGGGCTCCTCAGACTCCCCACCCCAGCACCTCGCCTGGGTCCCTAGCAACAGTGTCACCAGCAGTGTCACCAAGCATACTCCCCCCGAGTCCTGTTGGGTTGTTGCCACCTCCATCTAGCAAGTGCAGAGCTGTGTAATGTTTGGAAACCCAGAAGTGGTCTGCAAGTTCCAGCCCTGATGTGTCCTTTGATATTCCATGTCCTCCAAGAAAGACGTAAAGACAGAAACAAAACAAAATTCCCAGCAGAGTACAGGTTTTCTGATTTTGTACAAAAGAAGTTTTATAAACTGGGAGCAGTGGTGCACATCTGTAATCCCAGCACTCTGGGAGGCTGAGGCAGGAAGATTGCAAATTTGAGCCCAGCCTGAAACTCAGTGATTTAGTGAGGCCCTGTAACAAAATAAAAAATAAAAAAGAGCTTGGGGTGTAGCTCAGTGGGAAGTCTCTGGGTTCTACCCCCAGTACTACAAACAATAGCAACAACAAAACCTAAAAAAGTTTTATAGTAATTCCATGGACAAAAGAACAGAACAAGGTAAACAAACTATAGAAGCAAATAAAATTTAGAACATAAAAAACATTTTAAAGAGCCAGTCAGTCTTACTGATCTCCCTATAGCTGGCAATAAGAAACCCTCAGACTTTCGGGGCAGAAACACCCACCCCGGGTCAGCCCAGCAGCCTCGCCTGGGCTTTAGGGACACCAGTCACAGAGACAACACCAGCTTTCCCTGCTGCCAGCCCATGGGCTGGCTCAGCCAGTGACGAAACCACTGCCCTGTGCCCAGGGGACAGGTGGGTGGCAGCTGTCCCGGAGGTGCTCTGTGTGCACTGTTTTAACCAATGAGTGTGGACGATGTGAGGAAAGGCGACGGTGCTAGACATGAATCTCCCTGGGTTTGTGCCCTAGCCGCCGGCAGCCTGCGTGTGAGGATCCCACTGTCATGATCTCAAAGGATCCCATAATCTTAACAGCCTGTGTGTTGGAGACCACTACAAAGTGGCTCTGGGCAGGATTTAACATTAACCACTTGGCTTTCCGTGTTTACTTGTGAGTTGTCTGAAGCTTAGGCCCCTTGTCTGGGCATGGGCAGTGGACCCACAGTAAGTGAACCTCTGTGTGTCACAGGTCACCCTGAGGCCTGAATTGGCCTGTGAAGCAGTGACACCTCCCAGGACAAGGAAAGCCCATAGGTGAGGACGTCCGGCTCCAACCCCAGTTAACCACAAGGAGACGACAGCGGCAGGCTCCACACTCCTACAGTAAATGCCAGCCCAAAGATAAGACAGTTCTCCTGACGGACATAATTTACTACTTGGGAAAATCCTCCCAAGTCCTGCTCAGATGTCCACGTTTTCTTGAGCATCCCTCTCCTTTGTTTGTAAACCAAATAAATATGGGATCCTGAGAGAAGTCGTTGTCTTAAACCACAGAATCTTGAAGCTGTAAGAGACTTAGACTCTCCTGGAGCCCTACAATCATTTCAATTGTCTCATTATTTAAGCCTTCACTGTCCACTCATTTGGAAGATTGTGGGCCTGATCAGCCTGCAAGAACTAAGGGTTATTAACCTGACAGTTGTGTTAGAAAACGAAGTCACCCGCCAGCATGGTGCATGCAGGGGAATGTTTTGAAATCAAAATCCATTTTCTTCTTAAAATATGGAGAGAGGAAGAAATAAGGAACTCTTGCAAAGCACACTGGAAGCAGCAGCAAGGCTGGAGCCCTGCTGCTTCTGCAGGGGACAGCATGAATGAATCTGCACTTAAGGGTTTTTTTTTAACTTTTTTTTCTCGATACAGAGTCTCACTATGCAGTTCAGCCCAGCCTCAAACTTGCAAAGATCCTCTTGCCTCAGCCTCCCGAGTGCTGGGATCACAGGCATGTGCTACGATGCCCAGCTTTTTTGACTTTTTGAGACAGGGTCTCGCTATGTAGCCCAGGCTAGCCTCCAACTCATGGCAATTTTCCTGCCTCAGACTGACTGCTGGGATTGCAGAAGCATGCCACCATACCTGGGCAAGGCACTTTTCAAACTGAGTTAATGCTGTACTCACACACTGTGACTCAGGGGTGCTGACCGGTCCCAGGCCCAGCTGTGCATGCACACCCCACCACCCCCAGGCAGCCTGGCCTGGGTGTCTTCCTACTTCTCGGTAAGGAGGCGGTGTAGATGGGTGGCATCCGTGCAGAGCAAGAGCAGCAGCGCCCAAGTTCCCATAGGGTGAGCGGCCCAGGGCCGTCTGCCCACCCTGCGCAGCCTGGTGCCTCACAGGAGTGCCCGCTGTGGGAGACTCTGGGGTCAGCAGTCTCAGAGGACAAGTGGGCAGCCAGCCAGGCCAACGGATGGGGGGAAGGGAGCCACTGCCCACGCACAGGGAGGACCTGGACTGTCCGCGCAGCATGCTAGTTCGTGTTCCACGGAAACGAGGGGCTGGGGGACCTATGCATTCGCTCCCTGGGAGCCATGGGAGGACCCCAGTGATGTCCAGCACCCTGCATGTACGCTGAAAGTCGTTTCCCTTCATAGAGGTCCTCGGGGCACTGTGGGCCCAGACCCCTGAGATGCTGGCCCGAGTGCGTGGCAGGCTCTCCCAGGAATGGCTTTCCTTCTGGGCTTCCATTGTCCGTGTGGCTCGGGGCCGCTCTGTCCTCGAGCTCAAAACCTCACAGCACCTCAGCAGAAGTCGGTGTCAGACAGACGCCTGCGTGTCTGGGCTCGCGGAACCCAGGCTGGTGCTGCCTGCCCGGGGAGAGGGGGCTGAGCTCGAGGCCCTCCTGCCTCCTGGTGTTGGTCTCTGCGCTCCTGGACCACACTCAGGGCATCGGTCACAGGCGCGGCCTTCCCTGGTGTGTGGCGGTGCCGGCAGCCACCCGTGCTGCCCAGGAGGCGACCCGTGTTCTCTGCCTCAGAGCACCGGAAGAGACAGCCCTCGGTAGTCGGCCCGCCTGCTCCCCACAAACCCAGATTCACAGCACCCGGAAGCTGAAAGCCTTGACTTATCACTCGAAGCAAAGAGTAACCCCCCTTGCGATGCTCTCAGGGAGTCACATGCACTGCCCGTGGGGGAGACACTGAAGAATTCCTGAATAAAAATCATTCCTTGCCGACAGCCTCTCTCACTCCTGCCAGCAGGCCTGCAGGTGGCCGCGCCCATGCCAGCCGCTCTGCCTCCCACTGGCCACTTATCGCCAGGCACCCCCAGGATGGCGTCCATCGTACCTGCAGGACGATGCGACCGAAGGCGTTCTTCAGCATCGCCACCGCGTCGGCGTGCGACCGCCCCTCCAGAGGCTGCCCATTGATGCTGACGATGCGGTCTCCGACCTGCGGGACGAGCGCGGGGAAATCACTGGCGTGAAGACAAACCTCACTCCCCCGCGCGTCCCAGTTCCCGCTGCACCCTATGAAGGCCCCGTGTCTCCACGGGGCGTGCGTGTGCGAGGTGAGGGCTTCTATGGTTTCTCCCTCACACAGAGGCCCCAGAAGAAAAAGAGGGCTCAGGTCTGGTCTCCAGGAGCACGGCGGTGGCTGTGATGTGGGTGACGGTGGCACGGCGACCTCCACTTGCCAGGAGAGGCCGGGTGCAGGAAGATTGCTGCCCCCTGGAGCTCTGAGGAGGAAGCCAAGCAGCTTCTGCTTTGCGTTTCTACCTCAGTCAAGATGAAGGATGAAGCAGAAAGTAATAAATGTGTTTTTTTTGGTTGGGGGACGATTCTAATGCCGGCTCGGGTTGAAAGCCAACATGGGTAGAAGAAGGGGCCGAAGAGGACAGGGTTTTGATTTCACCAAGGGGCTGCCGCTGCTTCATTTACCGAAGCTCAGATACAAACTCGAGCGTTTTCATAGACCTGAGCCCCACGAGCCTCAGGCAGAGCTCCCTGGCGCTGCCAGGGTGTGGCTGAGGCCTCTGGAGTCAGCTCTGCACGAGGCCCCCACTGCCCCCCCTTGGCCCACCACTACCCTGGCCCGCTTACTTTGAGCCTCTGCGTCCGCGCTGCCACCCCGCTGGCCTGGATCATGGCGATGAAGACAGGGACGTCCCCGAGCGGGCTGCCCTTGCCGCCCGCGATGCTGATCCCAAGTGCATCGCTGAGCTCCTGAGAAAGAAGAATGCAGTCCTGCGTGTTAGCACACAGCCACCAGGTGTCACAGACTGCTGCTACACGAACGCCCCGAAACCATGCCGACAATGAGGACCTCGGGCGGGCGGAACACGCCGAGCTCAGCTCGGTGCTGGGTGGTGGCCAGCCCCGGAGAGGCTGGCGTCTTAGCGCCCTCTCCACAGGCGACGTAGGAGATGCCGAGGGCCTCGTGGCCAGGGTTAAGATTAGAGGGATAGTTGTCGGGCATGGTGGCACACACCCGTAATCCTAGCACTGGGCAGGCTGAAGCAAGAGGATCACTGTGAGTTCAAGGCCAGCCTGGGCTACATAGTGAGTTTAAGACCAGCCTGAACTACATGGTGAGAACTGGTCTCAAAAAAAGAGGAAATAAAACAGCATACACCCCACCTGCAGAAAAGCACAAGAAAATCACAGCCAGAGGAGGAAATTAAAGCAGAACCCTCCGCCACCCACCATGCAGAGCAGCAGCCTGGGGAGTGTGTGCTCATGCAGTGTCCATGACAAAGCCACCACAGGCAGGTGCCTCCCAAGACACTGCACGAGGGGGCCGCAGCAAGGGGTCTCAGCCAGGAAACAGATCACAGTGTCCCCAAGATGGCCCTTGAGGAGACCTGGCCCAGGCCTCCCTCTGTCTGGATCAGTGATCCTACTCTACAACCACTAAGAGAAGGACGACAGGTTCCAGCTCTGGCCTCTCCCGCTGATGACAGGAAGAACTGCTGAGAAATGCAAAAAATGCTGTGGCTGCAGCTGCTTGGTAGGAGCTGTCCTGGTGTGCGCCCGGCCACCCCTGGAGCTCAGGGCGCGGTGGTTGCTGCCTGTCTGCAGGGCATGCATGCGTGCAGGTCTTGCATGTGAGGTGTGCTCTGCCCTAGGTCTGCTGGGACCACAGCAAACAGGGCGACAGAGAAGCCTCAAACACCCGAGGCAGAAGTGAGTGGGAAGTGTAAGATGTTACTAAGATCTCAGAGGGAGGGAATCTAGGGAGCAAGTTGGCCTGACCCACACCAGGGGTTTCCCTGACGGGTCCCTAACTGCGTGCTGTTGGCCCACCTACATCCTGCATGGGACACCGAGCGGCCTGTGGCAGAAAACACCAGGGACACAAAAGGCCAGCATCATCCACGTGTGGCCAACAGAAGCAGCTGTGCTTTCACAACCTCTTGTGGGGCAGAGGGCAGCGTGGATCAGGGCAGAGGCCGTCACACACACACATGGAGAACGCAATGGGGTGGATGTGACTCGCTGAATGTCATGGTCACCTCTGCGCTCCACTGTGTTTCTGTAGGCCCGTTTCCAAGGCCCATTTTTTCCAGTGCTTTTGTAGCAGAAAAACCAGTATCAAAGCAAATGGAAAAGGAGTTAGAAGGCAACTTTTATTATGCTAGCAGGCTGGGGAACCAAGGTTCAAGTCACCAGCCCTGAGTCAGGTTTGAGCTCAGTTTCAATCTGGTTTGTGAGTGGTAGGTTTCTCTGTTTGTTTGTTTGTTTGTTTTTCCGGTAATGGGAACTGAATTCACGACCTTGTAATTGCCAGGCAGGCACTGTGCCACTGAGCTAAATCCCCAGCCCCTGTGAGTGGGAAGTACAAAGCAGATGGCAGGTTATTACACGATGGGTTACATGGAGTACAAGAATCACGTCATATACTGTCAGGCAGGAACATTCTGGGAGGGAGGGGTCTGGGAAGAGTAGGTAGAGTTGAAAGTGTCCTTGCCTGGGCCAGCCTCTCCCCAACACGATGCCTTGAAGCCCTTGAAGTAAGCTGGAATCACTGCGTATTTCTAAAACACAAGCTGGACACAATCAGTTTGACCCCACACATTGTTAAGGGGGCACATCTGGGCCTAGACAGTCCAGGCTGGCTAGGTGACAGGCAGCATGAGCATAGTCACAGGATATCAACTGGTTTCCAACTTCTGTTGTACTGTGCCTACAAACCTGCTGTTCTGTAAGTGTGCCGTAACAATCTGAACTGTGTGCTCACACCCAATAGACCACATTGAGGGAAATGTGAATTTTCTGCAAACCCAGTGCACACACAGAGCAGAGACAGCGAAACCTCGACTCACCCTGACGATCTCCACTGTCCGGGGCTCCATGTCCGCGCCTGTGAACACAGAAGTAGATGTGAGCCGCTCCAGCTCTGAGGACCCAGCCTGCAGTGGCCTCGTCCCCAGGCCTGTCATGGAGGCGTCATGGCCATGACCATGTGGGCTGTGATCCAGAGCTCTGAGGGGTAGTGGTCAGTGTTTCCTGCTATGGTCTCTGTCCAGATCAAAGCTACCCTCCACCCAGCAAGAGGCTGTGAGAGCCCCTGCCCTGGCCTCCTCTCTGGACAATGACGTCTGATCCCCTCTCTCCCACTGCTCCCAGTGCTGGGGACAGAGCCCAGCTGGACAAGGGCGGTCCTGCCAAGCTCCTCCCACCCAAGCTGTGGCCTCTGGAGGCTCCTGTGCCTATGACCTGTGGCAGGGCGCCCCCCCCCAAGCAGGCCTTTCAGAAGGAGGCCTGGCCTTGGCTGGCCACAAAGGCCTAATGCCATCTGAGTGAAAGGACAGTGCGTGTTTTGAAAACACACACGTTCTCCAACTGGGCGACAGTGTGCTCTGCTGGGACAGCCGGTACCTGCGCTCCTCTGCGTAGGACCCACAGCTCTTCGGGCTCCGACCAGGCTCTGCAGGCCAGCAAGGACTGGGGCCAAGGCAGGTGGGCAGCTGCTGTGTGCGCCACGCAGGTCCCCCTGGAAGGCAGAGCCAGTGGTCACCGAGTGAAGACTGTGCGGGCCCCAGAACTACGCTGGCACTATGGTGACAGGTGCTGAGGTCCCCTGACTACCTGGAAAAAGGTGGGAGAGGCCAAGAAGGAAACCCCAGATGGCCAGTCTCCTCTGCCCACCAGAACCCAGTGGCCTCCACCTCACAAGGGACCGGGACACCTACGGGACTGTGCGTCCCTCCCAGCTGGCCCCACGGTGCTGGCAGCAGCAGTCGAGCACATGGTCGCCTGGGGTCACCATGGGCACTGTGCCCCGTACATTTGCTAAGATAAGCATAAGACGCCTCAGTCCACAGCAACGTGGGACTCAACTGCACGAGAACACAGCAAACGTCAGGGGGAAGGCTTATTTTAGGGATGCACTGCTTTCTACTGTCAGTAATCATTTAATCCAAGCTGCTACACCTCTGTTACTTGACCTCTTATTCGTTTAACTAAATATTTGAGGTTTTCCAGGTGTATCTATTTGTGACGAGTGGCTGCACACGACATTCTGTACACAGGGAAGGTCCTCTCTAATGCGGTGTCACCAATAAGGAGTATTTTTTCGACCAAATTGTCAAGGTTATGCCTAACTGCTTTTACATTTGACCCTAAGTCTAAGATCACTATTATTACGTGATATGTTTTAACTTAATCCATTTTTTAACTTTATGCTGCAAGTTGTTTAATACTTTAATATTCCTTAAAAACTTTATTAATCTTGTTTTTCTTTGTTGTGGTGCCAGGAATCAAAGTCAGGGCCGTGCACAGAGTAAGCAAGGGCTCTACCAGGGCGCCATATCCCCAGCCCGGGAAATTTCAAATATGCAGTAAAGTTGGAAGAGCTATAGAGACCAACTGTATGATATACAGTCCACAATGAAACACAGCTGTGTTTTATCATCTATCATGTACTCCTGAGTCAATTCATCTGTTCTTTAAAAATTCATTTTGCTGAAAATTACAGGTATCAGACCACTTCAGGATGGATACACACATCTGGAAGAATATCTTAATATTTTCCTGAGAGGATGACTTTACAATGGTGTTACAGGGCTGGGGATTTAGCTCAGCGGCACAGCGCCTGCCTGGCAAGCGTGAGGTCATGAGTTTGATTCCTGGTACCGGGGGAAAAAAAAATGGTGTTACAGAAGCTACTCAGGCCTGAGAACACACAGCGCGTTATAACTGTTGCTGGAAAAAGCCACAAACAAGGCTTCTTGAACACAACACGGGAGCGTTTCCTCGGGCCTTCTCTAAGGCCACTCTGCTCCTTGGCTGGCAGGCAAAGGGCGTAAAAGGAGAAGCCGGCAGCCCAGAGCTGTGAGTTCTCCCCTAGTAAGCCAGAGTTGCGATTCTCCTCAGCCCTCAAAGGTGGCCTCTGTCTCCAGTCTCACTCTGACAGGAGGGACTCTGTGCCCTTGTTCCTGCCCACTGGACGACCTGGACGCGGCAGTGCAAGGGGATGGAGCCCTCCCTTCTCGTCACGGTCATGCTCTTCACGTCGCAGTAGTGTGGTCTTCTCAGAGTGGGCCCAGGCCTTCTCCCCTCAGCCTTGAAGGTGAACTCTCGTAGGTTTCAGCCAGAGTTCAAGTACAGGCTCATGGTAAGACATATTTACTTGTACAACAGGGCTAAACTTCTACCCCCAGAAATAATGCTCTGTGCAGGAGGGCGAGGGTGGTCCCGGTGGTGGCTCCATCCTGCCTATGGGCCGGGTCGCCGCAGCGCTGTCAAGTCTGACTGGCCCTGTGCACACCTGGAGCTGGAGCTCCCAGTTAGCCTCGCCTGAGCATCAGCCAGGAAGGCGCTGAGGAAGCAGGGCCCAGCCCTCCCTGCCTCACCTGTCCTCCAAATGTTTCCTAGAAACCACAGACCCTCCTGGTCCTGGGCCTGGCCACTGCCCTGTCTGCAGCGAGCCCTGGGGGGCCTCCACTGCGGCGGTCACCTCCTCGGGCTGTCAGAGTGGCCTGAATAGCAGGCTCCTCTCCAGCCCAGCTCCTTTGGGCCCCGTGTGGCTCAGTGAGGTTGTGGACCAGGATCCACCGAGGAAGATGCCTGCCTGGGAGCCCTGCCCCGCTGACCCCTCCTCGTGGGTCCCGTGATGGCACTGTGTCTTGGCAGATGCCTTTGCCACCCAGCATGGACTCCAGAAACGGAAAAAGAAAGGGAGAAAGGCTCCTCGGTTCACGTGGCGTCGACTGGGCCCGGCCGCTCCGATGCAGCCTGGACCGCGAGACCTCTCCGTGCTGCCACTAACAGCAGCGAGGCCGGGTGGCTGAGGCCTCCAGGAGCACCTGGTGCGGCCAGCTCGGAGCATCTCGGGACGGGAGCCTTAGAGAGGCAGAAAGTCACATTTTTAACCTGAGAGGCCTGCGCACACCTGCTCGGAGACGAGGGGTCACACGAGTTCCTCTAGCTGCCTTGTGTACTAAACCACGCTGAGCAGGAGTCCACACCATCTTGATAGTATCAGCCGTAGAATTGGAAAACTTCGGTACAATACACTTTGTTTCTAAAAAAGCGGCACTTACACAGCCTTCAAACAAACATGAGACGTCTGCTCACCCACAAAGTGTCACCCCAAGCCTCCCTTTCGCGGGAGACCCTGGCTCCCCCTCGGAGGAGCAACCACAAGCTGCCCGGCCGCGCCCGTGGCCCTGCGCAGGTAAGGTCACGGCCGCTTCACGGGGTGCACAGTGCTGCACTGTGAGGCGGGCGCCGCCACGTCGGCTGGACAGGCAGCTGTGCGCGTGCAGCAGCTAGCAGAGGTCTAAGGGAACGCTTACAGGCGATAAAGGAGAGAACCTGGGGCTCAGCGCATTTCTACCTCACTTTTGTTTTTATTTCTTTTCCTTTTTTTTGGAACTGGGAATCGAACTCAGGACCTTGCACTTGCCAGGCAGGTGCTTGTGCCGCTGAGCTATATCCCCGGCCCTCGTTTTTATTTCAGACACATGGACACCCACTGAGCTGGCCGGCCCGGGCTGGGCCCCAGGCCCCCTTTTCTTATGCAGTCACCCTATGAGCAGGGGCAGGGAGGGACCCCTCCTTGGGGTGCCGCCGACAACCTGGCTGTGCCTCGACGTCTTCCTCGCGGAGGTCCAGGTGCCAGCACGGAGCCTGCCGATCTTCAGCTGCACAAGGCCCTGCGCGCACTGGGGAGACAAGAACACAGAGGGATGAGCTCGCCTCTGCCCCCACCTGGCCGGCCTCCAGCCCTGCAGGCCCAAGCAGGCAGGGCGGCGGTGAGACCCCGGCCCCCAGGGCAGGCGACCCAGCAGCCTCTTCCGCCAGGGCGAGGAACGTGCTGCTTTAAATCAGGGTCGAGGGGCGGGATGCAGCCCAGTGGCACAAGCACCTGCCTGGCGAGTGTAAGGTCCTGAGTTCGATTTCTGGTACAATAAAATAAAATAAAATAAATGAAGATGGGGCTTCAGGCCTGCTCTTTCTTCCCTTTTTCCTCTGATGGGCGTGGCCATGTGGAGGACTCCTGAGGGAAAGGTGAGGGAGGGCAGAAGCACGGAACACGGGGCGGCCCATGAACACGGGGCGGCCTGTGAACACGGGCCCTCCCTGTGTCCTAGCTGACGGGGACCTTACCAAGGAATCACAAACTTAAACAAAGCCCACCCATCTTTAGCCACGGCCTTGGCTGTGCCTGAAGGCAAGTGGGGTCTTGGGCAGAGACACAGAGGGGCTTGGGGCTCTGCCACCGGCGGGGAGATGGAGAAGCAGCTGTGTGACCCGGGCCCTGCGCTTGAAGGCTTCTCCGAGTGGTCAGCTGGGTGTGGTGACCTCACACGGCCTGGACGGAAGGGACTCTGCTCGCTGGCGACCGCCTCGGGTAGCCGGAGGGGACGTCTCTTGAGGGGGCCTGGCTCAGGGGCTCACCTTGAGCATGGCCGCCACCGTCTCCTGGGAGGCGTCATGCACGTCCTCCCCGTTCACGGCCAGGATCTGGTCGCCCTGGGTCAGCCTCCCGTCCAGCTCTGCGGCGCCGCCCTTCACGACGTCGGAGATGAACACCCCGCTGCCGCTCCTGCGGGACCAGTTCAGGTGAACGGGCGCCTTCACTCGAGACGGTGAGCGTGGTAGCCAGCAGCACATCTCTTTCTAGTCTGTCAGTCTTTCCCTGGCTTTCTCTCTGTTTTGTCTTTTTGAGACAGGGTCTGGCTATGCAGTTCAGGCCGGCCTTGAGCTCACTTTGTAGCCCAGGCTGGTCTCGAACTCCCAACAATCCTCCTGCCTCAGCCTTCCGAGTGCTGGGATTACAGGTGTGTACCACCATGACCAGCTTTCACCTTTCTCATTTTTAAAGTTTAATTACATTCACTTGATGGATAAGTTTGTCTCAAATTCGAGAGGTTAGGAAAACGTGTGCCCGGATGGGCTTCCCTCTCCTCAGCTCCGGATCCCCAAGTCTGTTCCCCTCGGCAACCTGGCTTACCCGACCCCTGCGTTGTGCAAAGGACACAGCACCACGTGAGCCAGTGCACCCACAGTACTCAGGCGTGTGTGTGACTGGGCTCACCCCACACACAACTTCCTGCTCAACCCAGCTGCTTTCACACAACAGACCTCAGCAATGCATCTTTTAGTTTTGCTTTGTTTTATTTTTGTGCTAAGCATACTATCCTGAGCTATACCCTAGCTCCAGCTGACCTTTATCAGGGCTGGAGCTTCCTCCTTTTGATGACTGTGTGCTATTCTGTGGATTTCACTTATCAGTAACCTATTGATGGGTGTATAGGTTATTTCCATTCTTTGGCTATTGTGAACAATGGCCAATAAATATCTGCAAGCCTATCTTTAAGATAATTTCCTCTGGGTGTGGTGACACACACACCTGTAATCCCAGCACTTGGGAGGCTGAGGCAGGAGGATCACTGTGAGTTGAGGCCAGCCTCGGCTACAAAGTGAGTTCAAGGCCAGCCTGAACTGCATACTGAAACCCTGTCTCAAAGGCAAAAAAATAAATAAATTTTTAAAAAGATAATTTCCAAGTCACGGATTGGTCACCAAACGCGACTGTGTGTCTCATGTGAGAGAAACCATGACCAGTTTGAGTGGACGGTCTGACACCCGCTGCACCCAACACCATGGTGCCCATCTTCCTGCGCACGCTGCAGGCTTATCTTTCTGCAGGGCTAAGTGTGGAGCTCCTGCCGAGCTATTATTTGTTGGAGAGCTTTCCTCAAACAAGATTCCTGCCCCCCAGAGGCTGTGTGCGTTCCTCAGCCGTGCAGGGACACAGTTTCCTGCGGTGTGGGTGGAGGGGCTCTCCCAGCCTCATGCACCCACCTGACTGCCCCGTGCGCTCTGTCACCTGGGCATGGAGGCCTGAGCGAGGGCCCACTAGCCTGACCTCAGTGCCTGGTGTTGCTCTAGAGGGAGCTACATGGCCGCTGGCCACACTGAGGGACCCAGGGGTGGGCGCAGACTGCTGGGAGGTGGCACCCCGTCCCTGCCCCCCGTCCCTCTCCCTGGGGCTGGCAGTGTCCTTACCGTTTCCCCACAATGCTCAGGCCCAGCCCGCGGCCGGCCTTCTTGTGCAGGTCCACCGGGAAGACCTCCAGGCTGTCCTCGTCCCTGCAGCGGGCCTCGTCCCGGAACACCACCAGCCGCACCCTCGGCGGGGTCTGCCGCAGCGCTGCGATGGCCTCCTCATGGCTGCAGCTCCGAAGGTCCGCGCCGTTCACCTGTAAGAGGGGCGTGGAGTGGGCAGCCCGAGCTCTTGGACAGCTGTGCAGAGTCCTGGCACCGTCCAAGGCATGGGCACAGACAGCCCATCTGGGCCACAGAGGTGGGCACCCCGGAGGAGGAGGACTGGCACAGAATCCCGCAGAAGGGAGGCACTCAAGTGTGGGGTCCGAATCTGAAGACTCTGCTGCCTTCCGGCTCTGACGCGCCTGGGCAGCAGTGCCACGACGCCCGGGTCTCCCCTGAGCGCAGCTGGGCCCGGGCGCTGTGTGGGGTGAGCCGCTCTGCCTCAGCCCGGGGCTGCAGCAGCGCTATTTCCTCCTCTGTTACACGGACATCAGAGCCCGCTCATTCTTCTTCACGTCAGTGCTGCTGTCGTGCTGTGTGCCAGCCCTGCGTGGGTATCTACAAGTCCATCCCTGCAGTAAAGACACGTTTCCTGGCGGATGGCATGAGTGTGTGGGAAGCGAGGAGGAGGATTCTGAAGGACTCATGGCAACGTGTCTTTTACTGTAATAAATTTATTTTATTTTATTTTAGAGACAAGGTCTCACTATGCAGTTCCAGGGCTCCTACCTCAGCCTCCAGAACGCTGGGGATACAGGCGTGCACCACCACGCCTGACAATGTTTTAATTCAAACAGTCACCATATTTTTAGTCACCCCTTATTGATCAAATACTTATTGCAATTTCTGTCAAATGAAAACATAATGCTGTGTCCTCCCCCACCTCAGTCACCAGATCTGGACCTGTGTCTCTCCTAGCTCCTCCCCAAAGTCAAGATGACCGGGAGACAGGAGTGTTTTGAATCAGTTCAGGACATTGAGGCAGCCAGGACGGCGCAGCTGAAGGCCCTTGAGAGAGAACTCCAGAGCCGCGGCAGGAAGTGGCCAGGACAGTGTGTGTGGGCAGTGAGGGGGACTGTGAGGGGCTCACGGCAACGTGTCGCTTACTGTAATAGAAACAATGTAAGTTTAAACACACAGCATGCTGTGACCTCCCCTCACACACTAGCTCTCTGAAACAGATTCTCTTCTCAGCACCACTTACAGATGAGCAAACTGAGGTACGAGGAGGTCAGGGGACTTGACCAAGGTCTCTCGGCCAGAAGATCATCTCCACCTCTGTACCAAGCACCTCTGTCTGCCCAGAGTGCCAGGCACCAGTGTGAGTCAGAGACACAGGGCAGGAAGCGGGCCGGGTCCCAGGTGTGTCTCCTTGGCCGCCGCTCACATCTGACAGTGACCTGACCATCTGACAGTGGCTGGGTAGTGGGTCTGGGGCTTCAGGAACAGCCTGACGCCCGTCTCCCCGGGGACAGGACCTGTGCCGCGCTCCTGCAAGTCGGGGACAGCTTGATGATGCCCGCGGCATGAAGACCAGTGCCAAGTGAGGCACAGCCCAGCGCTCTGGGCTCAGAGCTTGGCACAGTTGTGTTTGTGCCTCGTGGGACCTGGAGCCTCGGTCGCCGAACCCATTCCCATGTCCGCAAGGAGAGCCTGCAGAACGGGAGGGGACAGTGTGGCCAGGGGCTGTGCTGGAGCCAGTCACCTCCGTGTTCCAACAGATGGCACACAAGACCACTTCCGTCACTCGACTCAGACCAGAAGGAACAGAGTGGCCAGGGACTGGAGGTGGCTTCCGAGAAAACGTCCTTGCTGTGAAAGCATGGTTGCTAGACTCACCAGGCAAAAGCCGCTCTCACAGGCCTAGCATGGGTGCAGCTGCCCAGCTGAGCCGCTCTGCTCCTCCCAGACCCGGCTAAGCTGCTAAAGATTGTGCGGGACACGTCGCAGAGTGCAGGGGCTCCGCGCAGTGGGAACGTGTGCCCTGGCGCCACATGGAACACGTTGTGTGTCACAGAGGATGCTGGCCACGAGGGCGGCCAGGAAAAGGGGTCCCTTCCCTCAGGTGGGAAGCAGGGACGCACTGCGCCAGCACCTCACTCGGGCGGAAATGGCCTCCCTCTTTCCACATCTGCGTGCACCACAGCAGGGCAAAGATGGCAGGGACGGCGCAAGGGCCCGGCCCATGCAGAACCAGAAAGGAGACCCAGCGACCACGCGAAGTCAGAGACTGCGGTGCGTGCCGGGAGCGTGGGACTCCACCTTTGGGAGCGGATCCAGTGGTCCTGATTTTAATGCGGAGCCCAGCTTGACCATCACAGGACAACTTATGGACCCTATTTATCAAGGCATGCTTACATCTGTGCCTTTTTAATGTTAAACTATCCATTTTTAAAAGCCAAGTATAATAAAAGTTGATTAGGAAGCCCACAGAGGGAAGAAACAAAAACTACCCCTCCCACTCCTGATCTCTGAGAAGCTGTGCTGTGTGTATTGCCGCAAGCCAGCTCCCAAGGAGCGCAGGGTATTTCCTAACCCCGCACTCCTGCCCTGAGCAGTGCCCCCGGAATCGTCCTGACCACGCTGCGTGCTGGAGGCACGCGGAGAGCCCTGCAACTCGCCTGGGTTTAATTTGCAGCCAGCTGGCCTCTCCCTTAACCCTTCCTGTCTAGGATTCCTACCCTTAATGATGCCTTTGCTCTCCTCCTGGGAGGACAGACAGAGCCACCACAGGGGGACAGAGTCGCCACAGGGAATGAAACCTGTGATGTCATTCACAACAGGCTGTGCTGGAGCTGTGGGGCGACCACAGGTAAACCCCTAATTGCCCGTTATGCCCACCCCGGGGGGAGAAATAAACGCTGCCCAGGGCTGCACACTCTTGGAAAGCACTGTCGCCCCACCGACCAGGGCACTGCCCTCGGCTTCCCGGCCCTCGGCTCCCTGGGATCCACACTGCCTACCTCGGCACTTTCGGAAGAATTTAACAGTTTTGCCAAACAGTTCAGTTTTTTAAAAATATTGCCGTGTTGGATATCTTTTTTATTTTATTTTATCTTTTTGAGACAGGGTCTCGCTATGCAGTTCAGGCTGACAGTGAATTCACTTTGTAGCCCAGGATGGCCTTGAACTTGCAAGGATCCTCCTGCCTCAGACTCCTGAGTGCTGGGATTATAGTCATGTGCCACCACGCCCGGCTCAGCTTTGGATATCAAACCCAGAGCTTTGCCTATGCTGGCGAGCGCTCTGCTGCTGAGTTGCACCCCAGCCGCACTGAGGGAGCAGACGCCATGTTTGCTTAAAGTCAAAAGCACTGGCAGCAAGCACTGTACTTCATAAAAGGCTTTGTTGGATTAGGAAAATACTATTTACACTGCAATGAAAATCTTTAAAAGTATCAGAGTATGTTTGTGTGTGTGTCTACACGTGTGTTTTTAGGAGGAAATTCAGTAAGGTATTATGAAGATGCAAGAAAATCTAGTTCCAATATTATACAGTCCTGTTGGGTATCAAGATGACAGAACCATAAGCTGTAACAATTTACAATCACAAAAGTTTGAGGCGGGAGTGGTGGCCCATACCTGTCATTCTAGCACTCAGGAGGCTGAGGCAGGAGGACTGCCTTGAGTTTGAGACCAGTTTCGGTTACACAGTGAGTTCAAGGCCAGCCTAAACTACATAGGGAGACCCTGTCTCAAAAAACAAAACAAAATAAAATAGACAAAAACAACAAAAAATACCCTCAACCAAGTCAATTATAAAAGTTTTCACAGATTTAGATCGATAATCTGTCATGACTTTATACCACTGAGTAGTTCAATTTGCATTAAGAAAAAAAGGAATACTGTGCGGTGCACATTTAGCTAAGTGGTACACGCTGGCGGAGAAGACAGCTACACTGACCTTGTGGATGTGGTCAGCAGAGGAGCCACACTCCCTGCTAAGGAATAAAACTCGCATTATGTACCTCCAGAATCTGGTCCCCGGCCCAAAGTCTCCCATCTCTGGCTGCTGCGCCTTCTTCATAGACCTCATGGATGACCACAGCGTCCTGCAAAACACAGATCCGGATTAGTCTCCAACCCCAGAACGACTCCCTAGGTGAGCAGTCAGACGTGGCTGCAGCCCACCGAGGTCTGTTCACTATGCAGAACAACGAGACATCTGGGGGTGTTCAGGGCATGACGAGGGGCCCCAAGGTGACTACCCCGTGCCTCAGTGCAGGCTCTGTGACACTGCCCGGCTCTTAGGAGCCCACGGAGCGGTCGGAATGAGGCGGCTTATGCGCTGTTTGCTGCCGTGAACTACACACAGAAAGCACAACTATTTTTGGAGTCTCCAGTGTGGGCTCACTGCTGATGATCTGGTTTGGGCCATAAATCTCCCTGTATGGAAAACTATGTCTTTCTTTTGCTTGGTGACAACTATGGTAATTTCTCCAAATCATTGAAAATACAAGAAAACTCCAGGCCTATGACTAGAAAAGCCCATGGTCCTGACTGTGTGCCTGGAGTGCCCCAGTCCTAGGAAGCTGAGATTCCAGGTAGCAGTGTGAGTGGGTGACAGAGGTCAGCAGCAAGGACTGAGAGCTACACAGAAATACAAGCTGGTTAACTGGAAAGATGGATATGTTTTTAAAACTACACCTGCCGGGCATGGTGGCACACACCTGTAATAGCAGCACTCAGGAGGCTGAGGCAGGAGGATTGTTGTGAGTTCAAGACCAGCCTGGGCTACAAAGTGAGCTCAAGGCCAGCCTGAACTGCATAGTGAGACCCTGTCTCAAAAAGACAAAAAAAAAAAAAAAAAAAAAAAAAAAAAAATTAAAAAACCCAACTCCCCTCCTCTCCACAAAAATATACCTACTTCACAGAGGGGGACAGAGTGGTCACAAGAAGGAAGGAAGCGGGGTAGGGAGGGAGGGCTGGGACATTTTAGGAGTCTTTTTAACAAAGCTATATTAAAATTTTACTGCTTCTTGGATTTGGAAAACATACTGGTAGGATGAAGTAGCGTGTCACTGGTGAAAGCCCGACATGTACTGTTCTGAATGGAAAAGTGGCGCTGGGCCCAGACACACTTCCCACCTCCTCAGGGCTCCTCCTACAGTTGTCTCCCCAGCGACCTAGAAGGTGGCTCTGGACATCTCCCTCGCCCTCAGGTGCGGGCCCTGAGCTCCACTCCCATCTTTCGGGGAGCGGATCCCTGACCCTGTCTCCTGCAGACCAGCCAGGAACCCTCCCCCTGGAGGTGTGGCTCAGTCTGAGAGGCCCAGGTGTGATTGTGATTGGGCCCTGGGCTCAGACTTCCTCATCCCAAGCTTGGCCATGGGCCTGGGGAAGGCCCTGTCCCCTCTGGATGTGGGTTTTGACACGGCAGCCTGTAGGAAGTGGTGACAAGCTCTGTGCTTACCAGCATTCAGTTATAACATGCATGCGCCAGAGATGAACCAGAAGATGATGAGGGAGCAGAGATCCAGGCCTGGGTGTGAGGGCACAGAGCTCCCCACTCCTCCCACCATTCTTCTATTCTTCTTTCTTTTCATCTTTTCAGCCCTGTTCCTGTCATGCATATTATTCCCTGGGTGATTGTTTGCCCACAAACAAGAGAGGATGGGAAGCTAACACCCTCATGTAAATAACAAGCTGGTACGCAAAATAAAAAGATGTACTGACATTTCTCCTAAGTTCTTAAAGATACTCTGCATACTAATTTGGAAGACAGGAAGGGTCTGAGTGCTGGAAGGCCATGGCCTCTTCCATCCTCCTTCCTCTTCCCGGAAGAGGAAACCCTCTTCCACTTGGGTTTCGTAACTCTTGCTTGGGTCCCCAAGCACCTGCCCTATGTCGCAGCAGGCCTGCGACACTTGAAAGAAGCCTTGTGCCAGAAAAAGTGACCGTGGACTGAAGGGTGCTGGAACATACCTTTCTGGGTGAACTGGGATGGAAGCATGAGATCTTTTAGGTAGCACTTCTAGGTAGTCAGTGCACTGTTTTCACAAGCATTTCAGACAAGACTTAGAGGAGGAATTACACTGCAGACAGCAGAAAGGGTGTGCAGGGCTTGCCTCGCTGCCGTAGGACAGGCTGAAGCCAGGCTCTGCCCGGCTCTCCAGAAAAGACCAAGTAACAATTTTCACATTCAATTCCACATTTAAAGTGGAAAGCATATTTATCGATGATTTTAAAAAGGGTGCTATGTCTTTTCAGGGAAAAACCCTTCCTACTAAGAATGACCCACGGGAAAGAGAAATATTGAAGACGCTGCACAGAAAATGGTTTTTCCTCTGAAAAGAAACCGCAGCTCAGACCTGTGCTCAGGAAGCGCGGCTCCTCCTGAGCACTGAGCGATGTGTGGTGCTCTCCTCCGAGGCTGTCCCATCCCATCCCCATCCAGTCAGACCCACGTGCCCCCTGCACCGGGTGGCCTCTTGGCTGGGCGCCGAGTCAGCCAGGGTGAGCACACGGCAAGGACCACAAAGCCCCAGTGCAGACCATGCAGCTTCCCAGGGGCCACGGTGGAAACGATCACCGCGAAGAAGCCCAGGGCCGGTCGGGTCTACACTGTCTCTGCTGCCTGCTTCACAGGCTGCCCAATGACGCCTCTGTCCAGAGAACCCAGGGCGGAAGCAGCACACCTAGCACATGACAAATCACAGGTTCTCTATTCTCACAAATAAATCACACTCCTCGGCATCGATCCAGAAATAACGGGGAAACATAGATGCCAACCAATCCCTACAAAACTCTGCTACAAAAGCAGCAAAGACATGTCTGTGTATTGTAACGCTCACCCTTAGAGAAGAAAATGCTCAGCACTTACGAGTCCGATTCCCAAACATTCTCAGGCAGTGAGCTACAGATAACAGGAAGGGGCCCTACGCCAGCAGTAGACCCACTGGCTCTTGGCATAAAAGGGTCAAATGCTCAGAAATAACGCCATTGTGTGTGGGCACACACACACACACACATACACACACACACGTTTTAATACAGGTGACTAAATAAGCGATTCTAGAGCTTCAGCCCAGGAGCGCACGCTCTTGGAGCCTTCTTACAGGTAACCAATACACGAGGTGAGAAGCACAGCAACGAGACGGCTCGCGGAAGGACTGCTGTGAACGCATGAGCATGGTTCACTTCAAGACTGTGAAAAGCCTTCTCTTTTGAGGCTCCAAAACGAAACTCCTGTATTTCCTTAAAATGAAGTTCCCTCACCAGCTCTGATTTAACAAAGATTGACACTCGTCAGTATGGAGATAATGTTTTATGCTGAGATACAGATTTCTTTAAGGAAATGGTATAATATTTGTGTTATATGTTATAAGGCCTCATAGCTCCATCTGGTCCTTATTGATTTAAATTTCTTGAGCTGGCACAATAGTTTTGCTTATGGTCATATTCTCTGGGACCAGAACCGTGCAAGTCTGGCAATTCAGAGGTGCTATTTGTTAACATTCCTTCAGTGTGATTCATAGGTTTTTTGCAAACTCTGCTTTGATTTTAAAATAAATCTAAGGTAATGAGATGTTTTGTATAAAAATATATGACCTAAGAAACAGCGATAAAAGGAGCTTGGGTTTGGGGGATTATATGCCAAAGCAAACCACAGCCTTCATGCAACAGACTGTATAAAGTTCACCTGAAGGGCAACAGCAAAATAAAACAATCAAATATATAAGAGCTTTCTAGTCTGCTTATGAGGCAGAGGGGTTAAAGCAGGCTGCTTCAGAGCAGGACAAAGGTCGTGGCTAAGGCACAGGTAGCCTGGGTGAGTCTCACCGCCCACCATGTGCACCTTCCACCGAGACACGGCTTGCTGACGTGCCCACCCATGAGCTTCTGTTCTGGAGGACGAACTAAACTGGTGTTGCTTGTGGAACTTGTGTATCACAAGAGTGAATTAAATTGGTGTTCCAGCCGGGGCAAGCATAGCTCAGTGGTAGAGTTTGTAATTAGCACGTGTGAGGCACTGAGTATGATTCCCAGCAACAAAGTAAATAAATTAATATTAAATCATTAAATCAGGTACTGAAACAATGCAGCTGTGGAAGCTGGACAGAAATGCCAGTGTTCCTGAACCTGAAGGTCCTAGGCCTTTTTATTAACTTTTATGATCTATCCTGGCAAGCCACAGGCCCCTTCACAATGTGCTAATTCCAAACTAGACAGACACAGCCAATGTCCTAGTCTAACTGTTTTTCTTCTGTAAAGAGACTCCAGGACCAGAAGGATAACGGAGACCCAGAAACTAGAGTTCACATTTAAAAACTTTCCACAAGCCACAAGCACAACCACTCACAGAACAGCACAGCCCCCCAGCCCTGAGGCCTTGCTCTGTAGTAAACAGGCGCAAATAGTAAGAGGAGCCTCAGGAACTTACAGTGCTGAGAGGTTTGAGAGAGGTCAGCACACAGGGAGAGGATTTCCATAGTAGCAGCATCTAAAAGGAACGTTATTTGTAAATGTTCTGCCTCCTTAGGAAGCAAAGCTGTCGTGATAACATCTGTACCTGTGCAAGGTGCCAGCGGCGCACTCAGCCCCAAAGGTCCCCCTTGGCTACCGGGTGCCTGTGTCACGAATCCCTCCTTGAAAAATGTGAAATGTGTGCCTCACTGCACCCCTGGGGGGCGCCCAAGTCATTCCCCTCTTTTTATTTTTTTGGCGGTTCTGGGGTTGAACCCAGGAAGTGCTGAGCCACATCTCCAGCCCTTCCTGCTTTGAGACAGTCTCACTAAGTTGCTCAGGCTGGCCTCAAACCTGCGATTCTTCTACCTCAGCCTTCCAGTAGCTGGAGCACAGGCGTGCACCACGGAACCCAGCTCTGAGCTTTCTTTATCTCCTCCCCTCCCCGCTTCTCTTCTCTCTGTTCTGGCTTGCAGACATCCTCCCAAAGCCTCAGGCCCTTTAGGAGGGTGACTGGATTATGGGCTCATAGTTGACCTGTGGATGGGAAGTGGCGTTGGTTGGAAGAGATGGTCACTGCCTGGGGCATGACCTGGACGGGTCACCTCCCTTCCAGCTCCTCCCTGGACTCCTGCTTCCGGCCGAG